AATCCAGTGACTTGATCCAAAGAGTTGTGAGTTCAATACCTGACTATAGAAGAGGTAAAAAAAAACCTTGGAGAATTGAGTTAAAGGCAGATAATCGAGACATCCTGAAGAGCCATGACACGTGGAACTAGAACTATCTACCCCGGTGAACGAAATAAAGGATTCGGTTCGAAATTCATGTCACCTGAAGAATGCCGGAGCGTAAAGCTGCCGAAACGTCGTGAAAAAAGCAATGAAGATGACAACAACAGTCCGAACAATGTGAATAATGTAAAGAAATATTTTACTAATCGTCTATTTTATGTACACTATATTATAATATTATAATTTATAATATGTGTTACATTTCCATATGTTAATGAACAGCATTACATATGTTCCTTTACTGCCAAAATTATGACTAAATTCTCAGGAGGTAAAGTGTCTAATTTGAGCAAGGAAGCAGTTTAATTATAAAAGGCATCATCAAAACAACGTTTATTTATAATCATGTCAAAAGAACAGTTTGCTTTGCTATGTTTTACGGTATATCGACCTCAATGGGTTATTTAATGCCGACAAGATTTTTATTGCTGATATTATGTTCTTTTTTGCAAAAAATGTATTCATGGTAATACTTTTTCAAAAATGCATTACTAGTAATAATGTATTGCTGGTAATAATTTAATGCTGGTAATAATGTAGTGCTGGTAATAATGTAGTGCTGGTAATAATGTACTGCTGATAATAATGTAGTGCTAGTAATAATTTACTGCTGGTAATAATGCATTGCTGGTAATGATGTAGTGCCGTTAATAATGTAGTGCTGGTAATAATGTAGTGCTGGTAATAATGTACTGCTGATAATAATGCATTGCTGGTAATAATGCACTGCTGGTAATAATGTAGTGCTGGTAATAATTTACTGCTGGTAATAATGCATTGCTGGTAATAATGCACTGCTGGTAATAATGTAGCGCTGGTAATAATGTAGTGCTGGTAATAATGTAGTGCTGGTAATAATTTCTTTCTTCAAAAATGTATTGCTGGCATTTTTTCCAAAATGTTTTACTGGTAATATTTTTTTACAAAAATACATTGCTGGTATTAAAACCTATTGTTACACTTTCATAGTATATTAACCCCAGTTTGGGAGATAGTTATATGCCCATAGCTGGGACCCAAACCCTTGCTACCACCCCGGGTCAAAGTGGACCTGGGAACACCAGCAATTAAAAGCTGGTTCCACGCTTCCTGAACAGAGGCCTTGCTGTCGGATGTAGTTTATCGTCATACCCAGGAAGTAAACAGTTTGGAAATGAATAACAAAGCATTTACATTATTCGGAATATTGTCCTCATCTTGGTCGCCATAATTATTACAACCTTTCGGCCGTTGTACGCTCCAGACCTCTCCAGGTTGTTGGAATGTCGAAATGAACCCTTTATTTCGCTCACTGGTGTAGACTGTTCTAGTTCCACGTGCCATGATTAATGGATGTCAGTTATCAGTTCTCTCCTGTTAATTCCCATCTCCAAGTTCTCCACTGCCTTAATCGGGTATTGAACTCTCACTCTTTGGGTTCTGTCACTGGATCTAACCAACGCCTTTATCCACTGTGCCGTGTGTCCTTGACATTCCAACCAGCTGAAGAAGGCCGGAGCGTACAACGGCCGAAACGCCGTGATAACTATGGCGACAAAGATGAGGACAATAGTCCGAATCATGTAAATAATGTACATAATAACTCATCTCAGAAATATAGACAGATAACAAAGCATTTATTAAAATTAGATTTTTAAAGTTGAATATGATAATTATTTACCTCAATCAAACAATATTCGGGTAAGATTTAAGGCACATATACAATCACCTAAGTTAAGTCGATCATAGATGGGTAACCGATTGGGAATAACAAGCTGTAAGCTTGGGTGTGCAGATGGTGCAATGGATAATGACTTGGAATTGTTGAGAGCTGAGTTCCAATACCATTTGATCCCATTATATTCATTTAAGCTCAAATACCCTTGTGAAAAGTAAGAATCTACCTCCTTCTCCCCAGCTATTAGTAAGACTTGTATCAGTAAACCATTATTATTATTATCTCAAAAGGAAAAAAAAATCTTATAATCTAAAAAAAAATATATATATTCTGGTTTTAACGCTAGAACACTAACCATCAGTTAATGTTACACTACTACTAACCATGGGTATATCATACCCGATTTTGAAAATATCAAAAATAAATAAATAAATAAATCTTCATTTGAAATATTTTACATGCAGGCACTTCAAACTTTGTAATTTGAGTTAACATTAATGGGAACTGAAAAAACATTATTTTGGTAAGAAAATCAGGTACTGGAAATTGTAATTAAAAATGGGAAAATTTGCGCTGGGTACTATATACCCATGGTTAGTGTTCTAGGGTTAAGTAACCTGAAAATAATTGATAGAAATCGATCATTCAAAATCGGGTCTCATAGGCAGAAAGCGAACATTCTAAGCTTCTAAAAATCGGTATTACTTTAGGTTTATAAGAAATCCGGTTTTAATTATAAATATGTTATACCAATAACATATGTATATCCACCGTCCATTCTTGTTTCGAAAACAGTATGGCCTTCCTACTTACACACTACATATTTCAAATAGAATCTTTTTTCTGTGAGCTGTTATTTGATACTCATGACATCCTTTATACTATTTCTTTATATAACATAATCTAGATTTTGAAATACATGTCTCTTTAGTTATCATTGTGAATGTTTTCAAAGAGAGTGTAGAATTAGATACAGGGTGCGGCATAGATACTGTTACAAAAGTAAAAAAGCCCATAACTTCTGAAAAATATATATTAGACTACAATTTTAACACACATTAAATATTAACCCGTTAAATAACAACAGAAAAGGATAGCTCATATGGTTTCATTTAGCCTTCGCCACATGAAGTATTTCGGGAAAGTCACTGATGGTGGAACGCATAATTTTCATGCGTATTTTATTCCATACTGTCTTAAATTTTGCCTAAACTCTTAAGGACAAACACCTTATCTTTTTGTGCAGTTCATTATTTTATCAGTAACAAAAAAAACATTTATAAATAGCGGATTCCTGAAAAATGGCGTTGTTACACAAATGAAAAGATCATTGGGGAACTCTAGGAAGTGAATAATGAGAGAAAAAAAAACAAGAAAAATTCAATAAATCTCTTTCGTCATAAATAAACGTTTAATAGTCATCAAGAAGAAAATAATATTAAAAAGAAAACATTTATTTTTAAAATGCCATGTCCCATCAGGACGTTGGGGATTATGGCTCTCCGCAATTCCCTGTCCGTTTTATCTCTTAAATTTTATTTTTTTTAATCTCTCCTAAACCTTGTCCCGCTACGCATTTGCTCAAGATCACTAGAACGGTTAAGAATTTTCTTCTAGCTCACTTGCCTTCAATCTGCCCTGTGAGTAACACATTTTCCAAGCCATCTTTCTTCATTATATGTTTTAGAAATTTCAACTGTTTCTTCACTGAATTGATGATAAGTATAAGTGTCATTGTTGTTTCCATATTCTCTAAAACTTTTTCTTGGCTCACATGTTTAGTCTATAGTATTCTCAGCATCCTCCTGTAGAACAACAATTCTGTTACTCCATGTCTCTTCTTCATTTGTGAGGAGATTTTCCAGCATTCACTGTCGGATGACCGATATTATATAAGAATTAAAAAGAAAAACTTTTTTTTTTCTTTCTAGCGCGTTTTCCTGTTTCTTAATACATTGCTTAGCTTTTGGAAGACATCATTCGCTCTCCCAACAGACGTTCGGATTTAGTGGTTGCACATTAAGTCCTTTGTTAAAACACTTCCTAGATATTTAAATATTTGTAATTCGCATATCATGTAGAATTCTATTATTTAAAATAAATTTAATACTCTTTTTCTATTGATAACACTAATTGAATTACTCAGGACGTGGGCGATCATTGTTCTCCACAACTTCCTGTCAATTGTAGCTCTGTTTGCCTTTACGCTAGCTCTCCTTATCCTTTTTTTGCCAATCATTTACGCAAACTCGTTTGGTATGTTTTATTTTTTCTTGTCTTTCATTATTCCTTTTACTCTTCACCGTGGAGTAGTTTTAATTTGAATATATATATATATATATATATATATATATATATATATATATATATATATATATATATATATATATATATATATATATCCAAGTATATGATTGGTGTATATATCGTTAGAGAAAAAGGATATTTAACGTTACTTTACTTTTTATTATATTTTAAATACTCCTACCTCTAAAACTGAATCCTCTTATTCTATCCAAAGTAATTCTAGTATGTAAAGTGCAAATTCCTTTTATGGTAATGTAGAAAGGGGTACACACAAACTGATGACGTAACCATGAAATTTCCACATAGAAATTCTTATGAGATACATCTTGTAAATTACATTTTTAACACAACGGAAATATGCTCAATGAATGTTTTGTTGATTCATGTCATATATCTTTTAGAAATCCTCTTGGCTAGATAAAAAACAACAAAACAAACATTTGAATGTAATTCCTTATTTATTTTTAAATAGGAATTCAGAATTTAAAATGTAAACTCTCCTTGATGTTCTCCTTGGTAATAATCATCAGAAATTCATTTCTTCATTTATATGTCTGTGTGTGTGGAAGTTCCCCTATTGTATCGTTATTTCATTGAGCTTAACGAATTTAACAAAAATATTTCCATAATAATAATCAAGTATGAATGTATGTCATTATTTGAAGAAGTGGGCGGATAGGAATGAAAACGATTTCCATTTTCCTGAAGCAGGTGTTAAAATTATGAGAGTTTTATCGCCTTTTCCATCTTCTCTTTGTTTATTTGGTGATTTCTACTCTAGCAACCAAACAGGAATGGCCTATTGTTCCCAAGAGGTAATAAACATTCTAACTTAGTAAGAATCGAATGGAACAATGAAAATGATAATTCGATGTTTTCTTTAATCCCTTACCCGGTCAAAGAAAATAAAAAAAATTGACTCAAGGACAAATGGGAGGATTAAAAAAAGGCAGAACAACAATGAACTTACACAAGGGAAACATTGAAATATGATTTTTTTTTCTATCCTTCTCTGAACCATTGAGTCAATGGAACAATTCATTGAGAGGGAGAGAGACAGGCAGACAGAGAGAGGGAGAAAGAGACAGGCAGACAGAGAGAGGGAGAGAGACAAGCAGACAGAGAGAGAGACAGACAGATAATGAGAAGGAGAGAGAGACAGGCAGACAGAGAGAGGGAGAGAGAGACAGGCAGATAGAGTGAGGGAGAGAGACAGAGAGGGAGATAGACAGGCAGACAGAGGGAGGGGAGAGAGACAGGCAGATAGAGTGAGGGAGAGACAGACAGACAGAGAGAGGGAGAGAGACAGGCAGACAGAGAGAGGGAGAGAGACAAGCAGAGAGAGACAGAGAGAGAGAGGGAGAGAGACAGAGAGAGGGAGAGAGACAGGCAGACAGAGAAAGGGAGAGAGACAAGCAGAGAGAGACAGAGTGAGAGAGAGAGAGGGAGAGAGACATAGAGAGGGAGAGAGAGACAGGCAGACAGAGAG